AAAAATCTATACAAAAAGAACAAGATGTTTTTATAAAAAGAAAAAATAATTTGCAAAGCTGCTTCGATATTAAATATGACAGAATATTTCTCTATGTCATTAACAATAATCTTGATATACTTTTTTGGAATTAATGACTTTATTTTTTATTTATATTTAGTTCAATCAACAAAATTGCTTATGTCAATTCATCACTTTTTTCATATAAAAAAAAAATTATTCTTAAATTATAAATAAATATCAGAATCAGAATAAAAGTTTGGAAAAATATATATATATATATATATATATGCAAGTTAAGAGAAATCAGTTATGATAAATAGTTATGATAATTTGATTTTAATTTTTATTAAAATCTTGTAATTCTTTGCGACCATGAGTTTTTAAATGACGTTACTCACTGGATAACCCAATAAATCTTTCTACGAAAATTCACTATCACGTTTCGAACGACAATCGAACACCTCAATTTCTCTCTCAACAATTTATTTCCACCGATCGACTCGATGCTCCCACATATGTCTTCGTTCTGCCACTTCCGTCGCCGCATCCGTCGAAGACCAGTGCCGCTGTCACTCACCTGCCGGGCCCGGGCACAGCTAGAAAATTTAATTAAAGCTGCGCGTGGCCATAAATTATCGTACTATCGACAGGGATATCGGTTTCGTGGTAGTGGCCGTAACTCTTGGAACAAGAAAAAGAAAACGAGAAAGAATAAAGTGAGGAAAAGAAACGAAATGGAAACGTGTCTTTCGTGTATTTGCTTCTGTCATGTGTATACGCTTGAGTACAGTTGAACATGTTTCGTGTATATGCGTACGCTTGCATTTCTTTCACATATTTGTCATTCTTATGTATGGTTTCGCGTGTATTGAGCATGTTTAGCCTGTTTGTGTGCATTAGTATATAGTGTGGTGTGTTCAATACGTGTCCGAATCTATACGCGTGTTTATGCACATATTGAATATTATACGTATGTATGTTGCGTATGCGTATACGCGTGAAGCGAATGGGTCGGAGAAAAGTAGAGGACCGTGAGGTATAGTAATACATTCGGCGTGTTGCGGCCGCTGTTAGCACCGTTAAACTAGCTTTTACTGTTCCGGCTGGTCCTTTGAACCACGCCGCCTGTACGGCAGCCACAGGCAATAAAATGCGTTCACCATAAAGTGCCGCGTCTCTCTAGCCTCGTCACAGCTTCGACCATGCTCACGCAATCTACCAAGCCCATTGCACATCCGGTTGCACCCTTTTTCCCTGATCCATGGGCTTTTCGTGAAAATTCCGGAATGATTTTACAAATAAAATCTTTTAGCAATATCTTTCGGGAAAAGTAAGGAATCGTCGATTCTATTCAATTTCTCATTTGATTTGTATAGATCTATCGAATTCGTAGAATTAGATTTAATAATGATATATTAAGAAATTTAATTAATTTTAAACTTATATCTATTTCTGGAATTACTGTCGATTGTCAACTATGCAAATTAAGAAAAATAAAAATGAAAAATAAAATATGTACTTAAGGATTGAATTTTAATACTATTCGACGCATGCGCCTTTCTTCTCTTTGTGCACATGCGCATTACAAGTTTCATGATTTGTGCAATAGGTTATTCATATAAAATTTTTTATATGAATTTTCTTTCCTTTTTTTAAAAGAAATATTTCTAGACATTAATCATTCTAATTGTTCTAATTAATCAATGTTTTCTTAATAAATAGAAAAGTCTAGTAAACATTTAATGAATAAATTTTATTTTATTGTCAATAGATACTAATTAAGATAGGTTAAGTTAAGATAGGTTAAGATTTCTCTGTTCATATATTTATTTCATGCTAAAAAGTTTCTATTATTTTAATTCTTTTCTTAAAAAACTTTTCAGATCAATCATATAGAAAGAATGTGTATATTGAAAACATATGAATATTTAAACTAATATTAAAATATTTCTCATAAGAATGATATTGTTATTTTCATTTAATTTATGTGTTAAATAATCTCTTTCGTTCCACTCGTGAACAATCGACGACTTCATTACAAGTGGTGAAGGACCTTGCTAGTGAGCAGACCTAAGTTAACACATTCACTGGCATGACGGTCACGGATAACCGACATAGAACTTGACGTTTACACTTCATTAGTCATTGATGGCCATTATGCAGTATATGTATCAATAATGTACGTACAATATATAATTGCACTTAAATGCATTCTCGAAATTCTGATTAATAATAATAAAATCTTTAGAATACATATATTATATATATGTTATATTGAATAAAATAAGTAAAATAAAGTGAAAACTTTGAATAATTTTAAATTTGCAGATAATAATAATAACGTGTAAATTATAAATAATTTATAATGATGCATAAATTATTTTTCTTTTTTTCTAACTAATTTTTTTAATCTTTTTGAATATTCAGAATAAAATTAAATATAGTTTCATTCTTGTACTTTTTTCAACGATAATTTGTTCTGATAAATCATCTAAGTGCCCTAAACCAACAGATATGGAATCAGAAAAATCCCTACTCGGAAAGATAACCAAAGTACCAAACATATGGAGGGTAAATATCAAGGTAATTGAAAGAAAGTATAAAGAATTTTCTGGTAAATTGAGCCAGCCACAGAACTAGATGGAATTTTCTCCCTTTCATATTGCGGCGCAATGAAAGTTTTCCAATAAGAAACGAAAGAGCTAATCAGAGTTTCCCAAGGCTCAATGGTCCATGCACTAACATGTACGCATTCAGTCCTTCGATTACCGACTCCGCCTTTTCTTCTTTCCAAAAAGTTGAAAAGCATATCGAGAATATTCTAATCCTGCTTGGTTGTTTATATATATATATTCGATTTTATATTTCAGTTTCGCTGGAATATGTATGAAGTAAAAAAAATAACTATGGAATAATGATAATCTTCTAATCTTAATTTCTTTTTACTTAAGAAATTTTTAGTTGATGATAATGTAAGAGAAGATTTAATGCAATTTAATTTCATAACAAAATGGAATTGTAGATTATTTATTGTTTATTAATTGAAAACATTGAACAGAGAAAAATATCTAGATTAGTTTAATTTAATAATTTTATATATAGGATGCTAATATAATAATATTAATATATTCATAGAAGTTTAGTGAATTCTAAAGTTTAGTTGATCAAAACAAATACTAATGGCGCATAAAAATATTGATCAAAGCTTATTAAGTTATAAATAATTTAAGTTTGTATTAGATGAAACGAGATGGAGATAGAAAGAGACAAATATAAATGTCATTTTATTTGACACATTTAAATTGCTTGTAATAGATAAGTTTCAATATTTTTATACATCATTTTTTATTATTTATTTAGATCTTTAAAATTAATTCTCAAAAGATACATATTAACATTTTATATATATATTTATTTTATTAAGGAAAACAGATATTTAATTTCATTTAATTAAAAAGTATATCATATTAAATATCCAAATAATCCTACATGTAATATTGTCATGCTAGTGCCAGATAATACTGGTAGCACGGTAAGAAGATACAGAAAACAATATCAAATCAATATAATATAAATGAAAAATAATACTAGAGTTAATATTATCATAATGAAACAAACGCAGTATTGTATAGTATTATTTCACTATATTTCTTAAATTCATTTCTATTCAATGTCCAAAAAAAAAAAAAAAATCAAACAAAAAAAAATCACTAATTCAAACATTGTCCAAAAATAAATCATCATCTCAGCCATAAATCGTTTTCTATCAGACCACACACGTGGTCGGTGGTTAATGGACAGAATTATTACTCTCTCATGCAATGCAAATCGAAACGTTTCCCCCCAGAGGGGTGACTGAGGAGAGGGGGATGGATCGCATACGGCGAGGATAATTTACAGAAATATCGTACGTGTAAAATGATCCGCGGCAAGTGAAGCTCTCCGCGTCGAGATACATCTGTTTGTATATTATGCCAAAGGTAAACATCGTTGTTGATGCAGTGCGCTATTATGCACGGTGGTGCAACATGATGCACCACCGTATGCCGCGTGCACAAACACGAATTAACTCGCCGCGATTATTGGGGCTTCGATAACCATCCTATATATCGCTTGACGCTGTATATCAAGCCGGACCATTCAATAGTGAAAAATGATATTCGATCAGAAATTATTTGCAATGTTATCAGAGGATCCCTTTTTTGAAAGGGAATTTAATATTTTGTTTGAAATATTAAGAACATCTTATTGGATATTTGAATTTTTGATTCGATGTTGTTGTTTAGAATTTTTATCATTTGCAAATTAATATAATAATTGAATATAAATCTATTAAATTAATTTTTTTATTTCATAAATCATATTAAATCATCCCATAAATAATATTATTTAAGTTAATTTCAGATTGCAAAGAATAATTTATTATAAAACTTTAATGCAAAATAAAATTAATTATATTAAAAAAATACTATAAACTAATGCAACTTTGATGAACAAACGATTGGTATATTGTAAAAACGTTTTTTTTTTCTATTATATATAACAAAAATAATGATAGAAGAGATAAATAATGTAATGGAAAAAAAATTTGTTTTACTTTTTTAATATATTGTCACATCATGTATTACTTCCGCTGATATTTTTTTATTACAGAACTTCATAGATACCGACAAATCAGTTTTGTTAGGGATATGTCTTTCTCGAGTTAAAAAAAAATTCCTTGTTCGAATATCGTAAATATTCTGCTGTGTAAGTTTCTTTCGATTTATATTTCACGAAGGATCAAAGAGAGACGTGGCACGTTAAGCTGAGAATAATCATGAAAAGACATTCTACAGCCGCGCTCGATAAATTTTCGACGGGTTTTCCGGTCTCTGGGGATCGAAGAGCAAAATAGATATTAACTATTTGAAACAAAATAGTTTAACAATTAACATCTTTATTATAATTTTATAATTTATTTCTTTTTCTTCTGATATTATTTCTTTTTCTAATTTTATTTTAAATTCAAGAATAATTGTGTTGTTTTTCCTTTTTTTTTTCATTTTTCTAATTTCATTCATTTTCTATCTTCTTAACATGATTTACAATTACAAGAATTCTTCTCTTGAAAAAGAGAACACAAATTATAACCTAAAAATATCATATAGAAGATAAGCATACAAATGTTCTTTTGATTTGTTATATTTTTGTTACTCACACATCAATATAAACAATATAGAAGTTTCTTCTATTCATTGCAATTCGTTATCCACAAATCGACAACTGAACGAGTGAGGAATGTTCCAACAAACCGTGTCCAGGAAACGAAAAGTTGAAAAGTCGGTAACAGACCGGACCATGGTGTTTATTCTCCATCCCGTGAGAACGCTGTATGTAAGCCAGCCTCTTGGTGTGTATTTGCTTGCGGAATACGTGCGCTCTCGTGCGGCCAAGAAGACAATTACCTCCGCGGGGCAAACGAGCCCGGTTGTGTCGGCACGCTTTGTGCGGCGGCCACTTCTTTCCAGCCATTCTTCGAATTTACGAAACGTTTCTGCAAGCGGCGCGTGCACCGTCTTTTTTACCCGCCTGGAAAACCACAGGCATACTTTCTTCTCCATAGAAATTCGTTTTGGTCCATTAAGTTATATTTTCACGGAAACTGCAATGACTGGAAAAATGTGACTATGAAACAAAAATTTAATATCAAAACGGATATTACTTACATCATTTTTGTCGACGAGATATTCTTCTTTTGAATATTAGATATTCTTTCTATGATTTTATTAATTTCTTAAAAAATTGAATTATTTGAAAATAATTTAAACTAAGTATTGATAATCATGGTATTTGTTGTATTTTCTCTGAATAATGAATAATTTCTGATTTTAGATAATTAAATCACATTTCTATGAATTGAAGATTTATGATTTTTTTTTTTTGTAGTTACAATTGCATTTCCAGATATGAGTCTAACAAAATGTAATATTTACTACAATTTATTTTATCATTATTGTAATTTATTTATTAAATTTAAATTCTACTTTTAATTATACTATGGAAATATGGAAATGAGGAAATGTCTCTTTCTAAGATAAATTCTATTTTTTATTTCTATCTAATTATTTTCATAAAAATTAATCTTCATACTTCAACAAATTATTAAACCATCAATTCAATGTATCTATTTTACTTTTCTTCCATTTAATTTGTGTCGAAGAAGATCGCAATAAAATTAGACAAGACAAGTTAACCTATATTCCTAGTATGTGTCTCTCAATGCTTTGGAATCGGTACTCGCGCATGTGCCAACAAAATATACACGCCAATAGAGAATGGCAAAATCATTTCACTCGACTCAAAGTTTCTCTTGGTCTTTCTGCTATTTCTCCTCTCTTCCATCATCATAATCCTTCTTCTCTTCCTTCATCTTCCTCTTACTTTTGGTGTCAACGATTTTCCATGCACTGGCAGCGAGTGGGCGGTGGACGGTGCAATTAGCATACTCGCGTGATCAAAGCGGTGGGACACGTGCGACAAGAATTAACGACCACCAGCGGGACGACTCTTTCTTCGCGGAGTGTGCGCGCGATAAATCGCGCTTCCGATGCCTTCGTCGACACCATGCAGCCCACGCGTACCCCCCACTGCTCGTTTGTCCTCGAGCACGCGGCGGCGCTCTCTACCGACTGTTTTCTGATCCCTTTCGCGAATAGACCCATCTAGAACTCGCAGCGATATTTACCGCCAGAGCTTTCGGCAATCGTTTCGTACAAGTTTATATATAGGAACGCGCATTTTTTACTCCGTCAATTGTCGGACGAAACGGAATGTAGTTGTTTGAACTAGTGATTGTTTCCGCTTAAACTATTTAAAAATTGACATATTCTAAGAAAATGATTTAGTTTGTTTTTTAGTGGAAGAAAAAGTGTAGAAGTGTGAAATGAGTTTGGTGTAATTGATCAAGGATAAGGTTAGAATCGAATGTTTGTAGAAACATTCAGTTTGTTCAGTTAAAATTGAATGATTTAAAATTCTTCATCTAAAATTCTTCGCTATTTTTTGATGTAAATATTATTCTATATTTTAATATAATAGTAACAATATATAATATTATAATAATATTAATTATTTATTTTTGATTGCAATTAAATATATATATATGGATAATTTTAAATATAATCTGAAAAAATAATATATATATAAAAGTATGATTTTAAAATATAATAAAATATAATTCATTTTTAAATATAGTGAAATATAACTTAAATACAATTCTGCAAAATTAAATAAAAATAAAGTTATATATATATATCTCTTAAATTATAGCAATATTTGAGACAATAATTTATTTACAATATTTATTTCATGTAAAGATTCTAAATAGTTATAAAAATTTAAAAGAAAAAATCATAGAAAATAATTTCTTTAAAAAAAATTTGACTATTGAATAATTGAGTAATCTTATTCGGCAGAAAGAAAAATATATATTAACGCATATTAATGAATGTATATAATTTTAATATCATCATTTATCTTGAATTTTCTGGTACAAAAGTAACATTTTCTTGTATTTCGAACGCTCGTTCTTTAGCTCGCGACTTAATATAGTCCTTATAGTTTCTTTTGTAATCTATTTATGGTAAAGAATGCCATACAATATGTTCAGTTAAAACGTGATTTGCAAAGAAAAGACACGTAGTTATCCGTAATCAGTGATAATATGATGATTAGTCAAAGAATATTTGTATTCTAATAGCACATTTGTTTCTGTGCATGAGAATATGATTTGCTACATTTTCTTATTATAAAATTTTATTAATAAACATTAATAAAGAAAATTAAAATTTTAAACTTTAATAAATAATGAAATACATGTAAAAATTTTGATTTGCAGAGAAATGAAAATTAATAAATAAATAGTATATTAATCATATTAATCATGTGAATCATTATATAGCTACATGTTTTCCGTACGATTTCTTAATCTATATCCATATCAATTTTTCGTTAATTTCTAAATTGTAAATTATTTGTAATATTTGTATATTAATATTTATAATAATTTATAAATTTTTAATTTTTTCATATCTTTTTTTTTCAAAATTACATTTTTTTGCATATTCATTTCCATTAATTCATTATTACATTTATTTTTATTATGATATTTATTTTATTTTGCAAAACTTAACAAAAAAAATCAATAATCTTCCAATTTTTTAATTGATTTCTCTTTTTTTCTTACTGTCAAATACGTAAATCTTCAAATGTTCCTCGTTTATCATCATATTCTCTTCTGATCATAAATTAACCATAAACCGATCTAATTAAATCAGTTCAATTATGGATAGTTCAATCGAATTGGCAGATTGTTCGCGTCATGTGCTTCGTCTTATTTGCTTTAGGCGAAATATCTGAAATTCAATATGAGCGTGAAAGAGAGAGACGGAGAGGAGGATATGGTACAGAATAAAATGGAAAGATATACAATCTGAACAAAACAACGGTTGGTAGTTAGGGGTCGATAATACAGGGAAATGTAAATCGCAATATGCTAATGCAAACAACGAGAACGTTTGTCTAACCGAGCGTTAAGATCCCTGGTCCGGACTCCTTGTTTCACGCGTGAACGAGCTTTAACCCGCCGCAAAACCAACGCCTGAACCAACACGAACTGTTTTCGCGCAACACCGTGTACGGTCTCTATCATTATGAGGATCCTGATGAGGGAAAGGAACTGCGAATTTATATAAGTTGTTGTTTTTTTAATTTTTTTTTTCAAGTAATAAAAATAAAAAGATAAATTAGACAATTGTGTATGATTTTTTTGAAATAATAATTTTTTTAAATTGCAATCCTGTTTTTTAATATTCAAATAATTTAATTTGATTGTAATAATTATCGCTGAAAAATGAACGAATAGCATTATTATTTTTAAGTTAAATAACTGATGTTTTTCGATATTCCTGTTAGATATATCTATATCAAAATAAATAAATAATTTTTTAATGTAGAATATAAAATGAAAAAAAATATTAAAAAATTGAAGAGTAAGATATTAAAAAAGATGGATGAAATATTTTTATATTCTCTTCATATTCATTGAATTCATGGATTTAAAAGATTATAATTTCTAGTTGATTTCTCTCATGGTTCATTGGAGTTATTTAACTTGCGGAATTGTTTAATAGATTGGAGAAAGGGATGGAAGTAAAGGAAACGGTATTGGTATGTAAGTTATATCGACAGGTTTTTGTACTGTTGTCCCAGATAGGTAGTTTTAATTTAGATTGTACGATGCAGTATAGATGTAGGCAGGCTTTTAAGAAATGAAAAAATCCGGCTAGGGGTGAGACAGTAGGAACGAATGGTGAAGAAAATGAAGCGTATAGTCGATGCTTTTGTTCTTTGGTCGCCTTTGAAATGAAATCATGGTTAAAAAGTTGCTGACAACGGATCTTTTTGTTTCATCAAGTATTTGTTGTATTATTGCTCAGTTATATGTTATTTATTTTCATTTTAAAAAAGAATGATATTCTACTATATTATATAATAAATGAATGTTCCTTAAAACTTGAAATAAATATTCTATAAAGGAATTAAATCTGAAATATTATGCAAAAAAGAAATTAAAAAATGCTATATTTTTACTAACTTAATATTCTAATAATTTTTTTACTGTGATAAATTTTACTGAAATTATTTTTTTGAAAAATATTTTACTTTATTTTAAAAATTATATTTAATAACATTTCATCTTATTTTTATAACGCTACAATTGAAAATGAACAAAGTTTTTAACAGTTTCGACTAATCATGATTTAAACTGAATATACATCTTATAGACAATCAATTATTATGAAATTAAACTATGTAAAAATATTTATGAAAAATATCACCATTTAATCAAACAAAAATGTAATTTATAAGTAACTAAATATAGTGACATTGAAATGTATGAAAACATAAACTATTAAAATATTACAATATCATGGCAATATAATTTATAACTTTTTATTTTCACTAGACAATATATTTTAAAAATAATTTTAAAAATATCTGTAATCTCAAACTATATAACTAAGAAATATTTGTGATAGCAAACGCCATGACTTTTAATACCACATGGAAACGTACCTTAAGTGTCACATGTGCATATGCGAACTCCCTCTATGTATGCATGATCTTCCGTCGATCCAAGGAATTTTGTTCTATGGTAAACGCTAGAGGAGACCGGTAGTACTCTACTTGATATCCCAGGGGCACGGGGCATGCACTTTTAGACGCACCATATCCATGTAGACGTTCCTCTTTCTCTGCTATGGCGCCGCATCGGAGAACGGTGTAAAAAGGTAGGAGAACAATGAACATCCCATGGGAGCATATCCGTCGGTGCATCCCCTAATTAAGATTGGCCTTGTTTTAAGCAGCCCACTGAATGATTCGCCGATCCCTCGAGAAGAGCCGATACATCGCATCGGTTGAGTTTCGAGTATATATATATGTATATATATATATATTTCATATATATATATATATATATATATCTGATCAACGGAGAAATACACAAGAGTTCGTGACATAATCTTTTCCATTTACCCTTCCCATTTTTCCACTCCTCTCTAACCTATCCGTTTTATTGAATAATTTTTTTGGAACGTTAAATTTCTGAAAGTATAAGTTGAAAGACGGATTAATTCTCTGCTTCCTTCAGTGTTATCTCTTTTGGCTTTCTTTATATTCTTTTTTTCTTTCTCTTTTCTTTTCTTTTTTCTTTTTTCTTTATTTTGTTATATAATCGCAGAAAATATTTTTAACTGTTCAATCGCGATAATAAACAAATAGTAAAAGTGCAGTATATTGTTTTTCACGGTTTTTGTCGTGAAAAAAATTAACGTAGGATATAGATAAGGAAAACGGATAAATATATGTACTCTCAGGAATGAAGGAATACAATAAATGATGCTAGTGAGAAGTTATCGATTATCGTACCCAACTTATGATTCGTTAGGTTCGTGTATGCTGCCTTGAGAGAGTAATGAAAACATATGTGTGAGCAAATAGGCAAATAGAAAGGGGTTGTGCGTGAGCTACATGAATGTAATGAACCTAACAAATTGGTAATTGATAGAGCATAGTAAAGATAGAAAGAAATAATGGAATTTTTTAAAATGTGTGAATCTTTTGCTATAATTCTCATATTATGTTTTATATTTATTTACATATGTATATATAAAATAAAATATTTAACTTATTTAATAAAATAATATCTTTGTGATTTTTTTTTTAAATTTCATACAAATTTTTTTATATAAATTTATAGAATTCAATATAGATTCTATTACATTGAAAATAATTATTGTGATAAAAAAACCAACTTTTATTTTAGTAATATTGTATGTATGAGAAGATAGCAAAATTAGGATAATCATGATTTGACGAATGATTTCAACAAAAATTTAATCATTACGAAGAATTATTATTCGATTCTCAGTCAGCTAATTTCTTTATACAGAAAAAAAAATCAACTTGACCGGATCATGAATCTAACAAGATATAGACGGAGGAATTAACTTTAACGAGATTAAAGATTTTAAACGGAATGCGT